CGTCGGTGGTACATACAGTAGTTATTTTTACATGTACGCTACGCATTTGCAACGAGTTCACTGTGCTTTGACTTGTGCAAAATCCTATACAAACACTGTAGGAATACAACACAGAGTGGGGCTATACAAAGATAGCTCCAAACTGATATCTTTATGTTGTGGTCTTGCACTGCCTAGTCTGCTATACTTGGTGAGACAAGCAGGCCATATAGTGATATTGATATATCAAAAAGCTATGATGTATAGGATTGGCGTGATACAATAATTCCAACTGTTGATAGTGTCCTACAATACATAGTAGTGATACATCAGCGTGTGAATCCCAAATAAATGCCATATTTTGGGCCTCCACATTGTTCCTGGCCTTCTCTGATGGATTCTTTGCTTCTTCTGCTGACAAATCTTGAGATCTTGCACTTGGTTCCTGTTTGGTTCCTGTACCATTCTAGTGGTTGCTGGTGGCAGAGAGCTCGTCATGTGAATTGCAAGTTGTTCCAGGTGACACAGCTGAGCGGTAGCACAATTTCTCCCTCGCTCATTTTCTTCCATTTGCCGTGACATACTCAAGAGTCACCCCAAGTCCAACATGTGACATGTCATTGCAAGACGTGTCAACGTCCCAGGTCGGATGGAATAAACTAACCCCTTCAACATGTTTCTTTCTGCTACCTCTATTCCACTACTGGCAACAGACCCATTACTAGGTACTCGCATGACCCCTTGATACCTGATACCGTCTCTTTGGCACGTATACATCCACGTGAAAATGAGCACTCTCCCATCTCTGTCGCTCCCTCAAACTTTGCCGGATCTTCAATGACATGCAGTATTTCTTTTGAACTCTGGTAAATTTTTTCAAGTTTTTGATACCTCGGGAGCAGCTTTTTGACTGCTTCCCATAGCTGTCTCATGTTTCCACTGGGTGCTACAAAAATTTTCGGTAAATAGTTTCATTTCGACTACCAGTCTACTACTTCACGCTGACCTTTTCACACAGGAACTTATGTGCCTTATACTGGCTGAACCAAGAATTCCGCTGTATTGGGCAGCACTCATGACCGGACAGCAAGATGAGTACAAGGCCGATACAGAGTGCAGGGACATGGACAAAGGGTTCTAATTGTGCCGTCTGTGACGGCACACAATGCTAGTATGTATTGTATGTCTTTCTCATTGATACTCTATTATGTAACGAGGTACGAGAGAAGAACTAGAGTTAAGTCTTTGCGTGAGCATCGGAAGCAGTACGAACCTTTGCCTTCATACTGCGATGACACATCTTTCTCGTCTCAGTCGTCCTCAAACGATGTTATTCTTCCTCTTTGTTAAGAACATGCTCGAAGGTTGGATCCGAAGGGCTTGGCTTCAGCTCGTGCGCTGCGCCCCTTACCCGAGTACGTGCCCCTAACTTCCGAGGGCTGTTGAACGATGTCCAAAGGTTACCGGACGATGTCCGGAGGGCGTCGGGCGATGTCCGATGCGTGGGAATTCCGGCGGACGTTCGGGAACAAGAGATAAGACTAATCCGGATGAAGTCCAAACTAGAAAGGAAATAGTGGAGGACTACCAGAGGTAGAGGCGGAGGTGACAAGTCTATAGGAATCAATCCTAAGACGAGCGGAGGTCGACGAGAGAGAAACTCAAGTCAGATGGAGGAGAGAATGAGCAGAGTCTAAGATGATATTCGAACTAAGGATGTACATAGATTCTACAGGGTTTATATACTACTGAGGACTTATCGGAGAACAGAGACGCGCAGTCCGAAGCTATACAAAGCTGTGGACGGAGTGTATAGAAAAGTCAAACACTAGTCTATCGGAAAATAGTAAATGAACCTGGAGATTAGAACAGATGAAAATAAAGGTGGAAATGAAATGAGGTACGGAAAATGATATAGTCTAACTGGAGTAGGAATGTACAAAGGGATAAGGCGCGGAAGTTAGACGCGTGTTGGATCCGGACTTCCGGAAATGATGTGTGTGATAGGTCCGGGTCCGGAACGCGGTGAAGGTGAGGAATCTTGACTGTGGGTGAAAACACTAAAAGAAGGGGGCTCTACAGCAAGACCTGGATACGAGAATACGACTCGACCTAAAGGACAGCTACTGAGAGAAGTTCCTCGCAAATAAGGTGGAGGGAAACTCTGTCAACTAGACAGGCACTGGTAGGCGCGAGAAGATAATGTGCACGAAGGTGCGCTGTCTTGTTACTTAAGGGTCTTATATAAAATTGTGTATAATGACAACACAATTATACACAGGGAAGACTTCTTGCCAGTCCTTAAGTCCACGGTCTCCGACTTTTCTACTTCGTGGGAGGTAACGTGGTGAGTTCTTGGGAGGATTTAGTTTGTTGTCCTCTTCTTGTGTAGTCTGATACGAAGTGTTGTGGAATGTTCTGTGTTCTGGATAAATTCGTTAGGTTTGTTTCAGCCTAGTAGGTCGTGTTTCAACCTATGAAAGTCTGTTTCAACTTTGTCATCCTTAGATATGTGTCTCACTTTCCGTTGAAAGAGAGAGTCTTATGTATACACGTAAAGCTTAGAATGAGAGCTGTTCGATGGTTATATAGTCAACCCCTGTAAGGTAGTATATAACCTAGAGTAGAATAACGATAACGAAAGTTATATAGTCAACCCCTGTAAGGTAGTATATAACTTTAGAATAGAATAACGATGTGTCTTAGTCTTACTTCAAGGCACGTTGCCTGCACTTTTATTCTTACGTACTCTCACACGGTTTGAGAGAAGAATGAAAAATGGGAAGTTATATTATATGGGTGAAAATGGGGTCCTTTTATACCTTTTGGGAACCCCCTTACTAAGCATGATTTATCAGATGGATTGGTAAGAATGTGGCTTACAAACCAGATGATGAATCAGCTTATTACTAAGTACATTACAAATACAGTGTAATCTTACAAAGAATTTACAAAGCATGACAAATCATGACAAAACATGATGAGTCATGTGAATGTTGTTACAAAGCATGACCAATCATGACTAAACATGTTGAGTCAGCTTAAATAATGTTACAAACCAGAATATTCCCCAGTCACATGATGTGCTGACAAATAAAATCTGGTGGCTGAAAGAAGCCAAATAAAAATAAACAGTCAGAAATAAATAGAGATACAAAACTTTGACAAACAAATCTGTGGCTGAAAGTAGCCAAATAAAAATAAATAATGAGAAATAAACAGAAGGTCACATGCTCATAAAAATACAAGGTAAAATAAATCTGAAAAGTGAGAAATAAAATACAAGACAATGAAATAAAGGAAAAATAGAAAGGTAACTCAGTGACAGAGGGCTAGACAGTCTCTCATATCTTCCTTATCACTCTCTATATATATCTGACATGGTATGAATCACATACCATGCATGACAGCGCGTGATGCGAGGGGCGTGTGCGTATGTGGAAGCGCACTTATGAGTGATAAGGGATGTGGTTTCAAGTATAGTAGAGGCGTGAGCTGTAGCAGATGGAGAAGTATAATCTGATTTCAAGTACTAAGGTGCACTATACAACTTGCAGTATACTGAGATAAATGGGGGGAAAAAAGTAGTAACCGAAGTAAAAAGAACTTCCCTCTATTTAAGAAGGGAGATAGCGCTATGCGGGGCTTCTGAGCGCGGTACCGAACCGAGTAACCATATCAACTCTAAATATAATCTAAAGTCTAAGATAGACTTTCTGTATGTAAGCGCGGGGATCGGACCGAGTGCACGTCAATTCAGTGAAAGAGATAAGAATAACGCACCAGTAAATCAGTGAGGACATAGGACGGACGGGTAGGCGTGAGAAGACCTAAGGGGAGGCGCACAGACACGCGCGGAAGTGCGCGAGTGCGTATAAGGCGCACAAATGAGGCGCGTACATAGGGCGCATGCACGAGAGCGCGTATGACTGATCCTTCAGATAAGAGCTGGAATATGTAAGGAATATGTGGTTCATAGGGCCGTATGTCCGGCATTGAGAGGCGCGAGTCTCTACAGCGGGATATGACACTCTTGTTCTTTTCCCCACCCGCCGCTCCCTTTTCACATGCAATATTTCGCTGTCAACACACAACATTGCTCATCACTACCTTCCTTCCAGTGGTCCAAACTGCATCTGATCCCCTGTTGAAAGTGATTCACAATGGTTTTTCCCTCCCACCCTTGCAGCTCACCTTTTCTTCAACAGAGCATGCAGCTCAGGACCGGGAGGCACTGTGCGCCTTCGCCCAGAATGCTCAAAGCAGGAAAGGTCGCAGACAACACACATTTGTAGGATGATAGTAGTTGTAATGTCATTTGAGTTCTCGAGCCTCAGACTGCGTCCAAGCGACTCGCAAAGATTGCCTATCATGCTGTCCTGCCTGCATGTTTTGTCCTTTCGAATGTTTTTGCCCCACCCTGCAGTTTGCTATTTACAGTAATTCCCGACTACGCTATGTCATCCAATCCTGTCTGTTGTCGTCACAATACATTGCATTTGTTTGACCATCGTAAATATGCTTGAATCGGGTGAAATATGTAAACTACAACAACAATCCGATATCATCACAGAAAAGTTCAGCTCAGGAAATCTTCTAGCTGAGAAGGAATTTTCAGATGTCGTCTGCTGGCACCATGTTGGGTTTTCACTGGGGGGTACAGTTGACATTGTCGCTGTCACATGACCGAGAAAACATGGCACTTTTTCCTTGAGTGATGTCAGCACTCAAGGAAAAAGTGCCATGTGGCCTGCATCATGTGACAAGTGCAGATACGTCAACAATGAAGGTCACGTGAGCTGCAAGTCCAAAATCTCACAAAGTCTAGTGTGTCGATGTGACATGCACTGATTTATAAAAATACAGTAACTGACCAAAGTTGTGAGCTTATAATGTTGTCAAGTGCACTACTAACACATAAGCATATTCTCGAAGAAATGATGATTCAATTGCAGCCTTGACTAAAATACAAGCGCTATCATGACATGAATGCAAAACTAGTATGTACATTATACCTAAAATTACTTCTGTACCACCCTGCGTGAGCCTACTGTTGCCACAGTGCCAATGTTGTTGGCCTCTTCAGCTCGCTTGAACTGGAAGCACTGTCTTTTTCCACAGCTGGTATGTTCTTCAATGCTGCCGCTGTCTATGGCTGAATTAGAGATCTTGCTGTGTTGCATGTGTTTCCCACCTTGTGCACACTGGGGGAGAGTAGGGGATGTCACATAACACTGTGAGGAATGAGTGGGGGCAACCTGACCAGCCAGAGGCAATGAATCACTGCCGCCTTCCACAGTGAGACCTTCGGCAGTATTCGGCCCATCATTTCCGTGCACAACGGGAGAGAAGTCGTAATTGTGCAGATGAGGCAAGGCGACTGTTAATGCAGGCTGTGGTGCATCAGGAGGTGGTATGTCTTTGTCTCCAATGCGGTCCAGGAGAAGCTTCAGGAGAGACGATGACTGACCATCACCAGTTGTCAAGGGTTCAACATTGGCAGTATTCATTTGTAGCTGTGGCGGCATGGGCAGGATGGGGAGCAGAGGGTCAAAATCATCTGTGTTATCTTCCAAGGGTGGCAAATCAGGAAGTGTGTGGTCCGAAATTTTTTCCAGATGGATAGTTGAGAAAAAGTCATTGGTGTTAAGCATGTTGCTGAAGTCATGAGGAGGATTGGTAGAGATGTGTCCGTTTGGAATCGTAGAGGGTACAAAGTTGTCCAGTGGCAGGGATACAGTGGAATTCGGGGCCAACTGTGATGAAGTTTCGTCTTCTGGAAGCGGGGAAGGAGATATGGTGGGATTGGGGGCCAAACAAGGTGTATCTTCTGGAAGGGATCCATTTGACATGCTCAAAGCAGCAGCCTCCGCTGCAGTCAATGAACGATAGTTAGTAGATACTTCTTGAACCAGATTATGGTATTAACTCATGGAATGCTCGCTGGACAAATTCAGAATATGGTAGCATGACATTTGATGCAAATTGTGGGTATGCCTGGCTAAACCTGTTTTCTATCGTTGTCGTCCTGACGTGAAAGCTGCTGATATCCAGTATTCCACCAGCCACAGGATCTGGCCCACCCATCAAAACTGAGAATGTCCAACCTGTCATTTGATGCAGTTCCTCGAAGAACTGGGTGGGAATAGCACCGATTTTGGATATGTAGCTTTATCAAATTATGGAAATGAGCGTGGTGCTTAACTGTGCCAACATTAATTATATTAATGACTCACGCAGTGTTATCTAGGGATGTGTTCGTTTGCTTGATTTCCTCTATTTCAGCACGCTTTTTCCTCTTCATCACCTCTACTGCTTCCCGAACTTGTTTCTTGATATCTTCAGACTCCTCTGCAAATGCCCGCTTTGTCTGGTCTCTGATGATGGACAGGTTTGTCTTCTTTGCTGGCTTCGCATCAGGGTCGTCCTTGAGGATATCTTCCTCGACTTTGACAACATCTCTGACCTTGTCACTGTAGTGAAGGCGTGCATACATCTCCCAGTCTTTCAAAGCACGGGATGATTTGCCTTTTGAGCCCTTCATTATCTGATTAATCATGTTATTGATTGTGGTGTTGTGAGTTGAATTTGCTCTCCGTCCTGCCTTTGAACCACTAAAATGATTGTGCAGCTTTTCCATAAGGCGCTAATGATGAGCCAGGTCATGATGAGTGGATGCATTAGTGATGTAAGTAGCTGCTATGCATACCTGTTGCCATAATGTCCATGCCTCATTTTCCTTGTGCTTTTGTTCCACAGTTAATACCACATCTAGTGGGATATCTGGAAAGAGAACACTTCTCTCTGGAAACTTGGCAGCCCAATCTTCGAAGAACAGATTCCAAAAAGGCTCGTAGTCTCTGTTTGCCTTGCACTCCATGAATTTATTGTGGTATGATTGAATGAACAACATTTGTTCAGTGGAATATTTAGTCAGGGGAGCCATTAGATTAAATATTTGCTGCTGCGAAGGTGCAATACTAATGTGTAAAATTTAAATTTGCAAGGACAAGCAACTCGAAGCAAGGACACAAGTTGATCTGCACAGACCAAGTCGAACTAAGTCCCAGATTTTGTGAGTTCGAGGTTTATTCAGGCATTCATGGTACTGAAATTGTTCTTCCAATGCAACATGAACTATTTTTATCTGATCCATACACTTTGGAGAATCCTGCACCACGGGTGCACATTCCTGGAGCCACGACGTACTGCACATTGCCAAATGGTTCTTGCTCACTGTGAGCAACAGCGAGTTGCTTATTTACGAATCTTTTCTGTTATATGCTGGATCTACTCACTCGTCCGTGATGCCCTCTGTTACACTGATCAGACTTGTCAACTCTATCATTCACTTGAGATGTTCAGTCTGCGGCGTGTAAAATTACATTAACTACTACTTGGTGTCCCACAGCGTCTGGAATATAATTTTTTTGTCTGCATATTGCTGGTGAAGATCCATCCCTGACACCAGTGCACAACAAAAAATGTCTTCTACAGCACGAATAAATTCCTTTGCCTCCTTGGATGCATCAGATGCCTTGAGAAATTTTTTGGCTCATACCTTCACGTCCTAATATATCCTGCTCTGTATTGTGCAACTCCTCGACAATGACCTCTAATGCAGATAGTGTCCCTCAAAGCCTGTTTAAGTCACCAGTCTTGAGGAGGTCATGCACTAGAACATCTAGCACCTGTCCAGGTGGTCCGTCTAAATACTGTGATAAGCGATTCTTTTTGTAGCTGTATAATTGAACATTTGAAATCAGTGCAAGGGAATGAAATTAGATCAAAACTCACGCGGACTTTGTTTTCTGGTGGCGGTGAACATGCTGTGAGCCCTTATTGTTGCAAGAATCAATCGTATGATGATCGGTATCACTATGAATTGACATCTAAGTTAAGTGGTCAAATAGATATGAATAAAACAATGTCATACCTATTAGCTTTTTTTGAGGCCAAGACTGGGGCAGCTTGTGTTTGGTTTTCCCAATACTTTATCTTGAGTCTTGCATTGATTGTAGCTTTGTTCCTTGTTGAAAGTGAGTAAAGTTAGAATACAAAGAAGAGTGTTGTGGATTGACCTTGCATAGTGTGTCCATCAGTGCATCCTTTTGGCCTCCTGCTGTTCTTCTGGAGTGTTATAAAGTTTGGGCCGACCCATGATTAAAGGTTATAAGTGTCTAAGAATCACATAGTACATTTTGGTTCATACTTCATTGGACTTTTATAGGGCTTTTACTGGCTATGTTGCTAACACAAAATTCTCAACTTGAAGCTTAAATAAACTTGCATAGTATGTCCCCCATCTGTGTATCCTTTTATAATGTTTGGGCTGACCCATGATTAAAGGTTGTAAGTGTCTAAGAATTACGTAGTACATTTTGGTTCATACTTCATTGGACTTTTATAGGGCTTTACTGGCTATAACTCTCAAGTTAAATTGAATTCAACACAACATCCATCAGCCGTCCCATTCAACTACAGTTTGAATTTAGTGAAGTGCGGCATCATCTCAAAACAAAGAGGTTTGACAGACAGATGCCTATGCACTAAGCCTGCACCGTAGCACCAATAGCATTAGCGGTTTCATTGCGAGTAGATGGTTTCAGCAGACATCTGGACTTGTGAGTGGTGGGTTCAGGCTAAACTCGCATTGTACCAGGATAGCTATACACAAATAATACATAATCATACCCTAGCAGCAGTACCGTCCTTGATCGCAAACTTGACAATCTCAATGCCTTGCTCCACAGAATCTGCCTTAGCATACAAGGCGCGACTCACACTGGAGACCCAAGGGCCAGTCTTGTTCCTGTACATAGTGAATTACATGCATATGAAATAAAGCATAAAGAAACCTACCATCCAGAGAATACTCGAAGCTTTCGGCCCCTTGTGATGTAGTAAAGGGTGACTCCAGTTTGATGATTCACAGGGACATTGAAATACACGCCCTTGTGTATGTTGAGGACACTGCCCATAGCCAGAGCAGCATCAATCTCAGCATATCTGTCCATATCATCCCAAACGATGGTAGGGGTGGAATTTACCTTGGCAGCAGAGATATTGAGGGTGGAGATGGTAAGGGTAGAGTTTGCTTCGGTGGGAGATTCTTCGCCAATGATCAAGGATACAGGGGTGGAATTCGCTTTGGCAGCAGAGACAGTGAGGGGGGAGTCTGCTTTGGTGGGAGATTCGCCGATGGCATTGTTGGGGAGAAGGCTTGAAGCTAGCTTGATGCAGTCAGCAGAGGACAAGTTAAGTGTCAATAATAACAGCCGGAAAGCCTCTAATTTAAGATGTTGTCACATCAGTATTGCAAGACAACAAAATGAACATAGACTCATTGAACATACCCAACATGTCCTCATTTCCAGCAGGAGTCTTTGAACGAGGAGAGGGCATGGTTGATGTCTGAATGGAGTGGTAGATAATTCTGAATCAAATTGTTAGATGGTCACCTTTTATCCATGCCAAATGCTGCCTAGGACTACTGGAGAATCTCAAGTTGAGTCGTCATCATGGGGCAGTTGATGCTCAAGGATTCAATGAGAAGATATGGCAAACAAAAGCAAACAAACACTGTCTGTCTTCGACAATGACATTATTACTTATTTGTATGTACTCAATATTGCTGCCCCCAGTACATCCAATCAGATGCGTGTCCTACCTCCCAATAGGTCCAATAATCCGTGGGCTCCACACCTGTCTCTCAAAGTTCTCGCTTCACAATCTTGCATGTTTCCCACAGCAAGAAGCACTTGATACCCTATTCTCGGATTCAAGTTGGGTATTAGCAAGTAAGCATCCACAGTTAGGCTGAATTACTCACCACATGGTGCTTTGCAAGTGCTTTACAGAGTTGTGTGCACATCGTATGCGTGATCGGGGTATCTCATTCGACGTCAAAATCAAGCCACAGGAACTCATACAATGACCATCTCTCATCAAACTCCTCGAGTATGCCATCAATGAGAAGGTCAGTTTACTTAAATCCTGGCTTATACTTTCTGTATTCAGGAACTTTCGTGCATAGGAATTCAGCCTTGGCACAGCGTTCCTCCATCTGGGCAGGACAGTGTTAATGCATTCTGTTAGCAATTGTGCAGTGTTGACGTACGCACCTTGCAAGTGAGGTAAAAGTCACAGTTTCAAGTATTGGTATTCAGACAGCTTATTTATATACTCAGGATTCGCATTGTACTTGCAGATTATTCAGGAAATTTACACAGCTCAATGATTCTCAGATTCATTCTCCTCGGGTACCGGTGCTGTCGGCTTATGGACGTAACACGTTCACAACCTTTCAATTCAACTGAAACTGGTGTCATCATGTCACGTCCTTCCAAGGTGGCTAAGCTCGGTATTGAGCGCTTTAACCATCAAATATCTGCACCTGCGGCTGTACCACTCCAACGTTTAAGGGAATATGTTCTCTCTTCAGATGGTCATACGAGTTTGCACACTGAGTACATTCCCATCCAAAGTCAACCCACCTGTAATGAGACTGATCCTGTCGACACTACTCCTGATTTTCTACACAAGTTAGATGGCTGGAATGAGGTACCTCCTGATGCTGGAGAGACTGAGTATGAATTGCCCCACGAAAAGCGGAAACAAACAGCTGCTGTATGTTTTTGTACCATTTAAGTTGATTCTTTTCATAGAATATTAATTTTCACATTATAGGATACACCTATACTAGTATGGATTCCTGAACATCAGGCATTCCTTGACGAATTGCTTCGTCTCGAGGGGCAAGGTGTTGAGTCCCAATGAATACATTGTTGCTGCGGAAGTGTCGACTTATCATTTTGATGCAGAGAGTGTTTTGGAACAGAAATGTATTGTAAAGACTGTACTATTGAACACCACTGTCATCTGCCATTACACATTGTGGAGGTGAGCATTCTGCTTATATATTGGTAGCGGCCATTATACTTATTGGATCTACAGAAGTGGAATGGCATATTTTTCAAACACGTTGTAACGAGACAACAATCGCTGGATACTACACGAAGTAAGTAATCAGCAATATAAAATGTTGTGGTCTTGTGCGTCCTAGTCTGCTATACTTGTAGACAAGTGCATTCGACCCGAGGGGTTAGCTATCTGGTATTAGTCTGTAAGTAGTGGAATGTCAAGTGATCAAAAGTCCGAGCGCAGGAAACAAAGTCCGAAGGTATAATCATGAGTCCGACGCCAAAGTGTCGGGTTCGATGTTTTCGGGTTAGCGGACTAGCGGGTTTCGGGTGCGGGTTCAGCGGATTACGGAGAATGGCGACAGTGAGTGGTATGTGGAATATCGATAATGACGGATGTTTTCAGATAGAAAGAGTGGTAATATTCGCAATGTTAACTAAGAACTACAAAATATCGGGTTTGACCACAAAGCGTCGGGGAACGGTGTAGAGACTCATGCCTCTCATTGCATGATATGGCAGTATTCACTAGGGAGTACATAGCACAAACTTGCAGCATCACTCTGTATGCTATCCGCAGCTATTCCCTTACAAGGCGCAGCTTTCCTGCGCAATGCGCAGCACGCGCGCACAACTTCCCGCACTTTACGATGTATACGCGCGCGTGCTTTCCCACGCTTGAGCGCCCTATAGCGCCAGCCATCCAGACACATCCATCCACTGTCCACCAAGCTCTCTAGTGCGTGTATTTCCATTTCCCTTATTTGCATATCATTATTTATATCATGGACCCTTACTTACATACATATATCTTTACATACCTTACTCGGTAGCGATTTGGCTCCGCATGACAGCGCTTAGGCGCCATATAAGCGCCAGCATTACTTACGGACTGGACCTCCCACTTACCCACCTACTACCTAGCAGAACATAGTAGAAATCTATTCTTTGACACCTCGCACTCACATCTCTTGTTTTTCATCTATCATCACTTAAGCAAACTCACACTTACTCTCACTTGTTTCCGCTCGCGCGCGTACCTTCGCTTTCCCGCGCCTTGCGCGCACCTGCGCTTTCCCGCGCTTCACATTTGGTGACCAGTAGCGCCTTCAGCGCCTACTTCTAGACCTTTGCTGCACTCGCTTCCCCTTTAGGGTCAAACGCACTTGTCTTCTCAAGTATAGCAGACTAGGCAACACGCGACCTCACAACATTATAGATACAGTTTGGAGCACGCGGGAAGTGTCGGGTCCGTCAGTCAAAGTGTCGGGTCCGATGCCAAAGTGTCGGATTGAACGGGAAGTGATTATCGTGCAACGGGCATTAGACATGAATCGTGAATCAGCTGAATACGAGCCTAGTGTGAGCTCGAGTGCTACAGCATGTCTCTGAAAAAACTTGGCTTGCGCATTCAACTTGGACATAATCCTAGTGATTGCTGTCCCAATGCATGACCCTCCTCTGGTGACGACTTTGTTGTAATACATGTCAATGGTATTCACAAGGTAGCACTGGATTTTTGTGAGTGCACAACAGCACAAATTTGTTATAAGCAACTTCTCCATGCTCGATTGTACCCAGCTACAACTACTGATCCACGAACAGCTGCTACTTTTGGTGTACTGGAGCACTATCACCTACTATCATTTGAATTGAAAGTTTCCACATACAAGTTCTACCACAACTTAGCAAGGCGCAGCGACAATACTGGTTTAACACCAATCAAGGTGAGCAAGTTCTCCCCAATCCTTTGCTTTCCTCAAAACATCTCTTTTATACTAGGATCGTTATGCACCTTTCATGCACATAGTTCATGAATGGAGGCACCTGCGACAACTTCAATGCGCGGTGTAGAAACAACAGTACTGAGTGGGGCTATACGAAGATGGCTCCAAACTGATATATTTGTGTTGTGGTCTTTGCACTGCCTAGTCTGCTATACTTGCCTGACAAGTGCGTTCGACCCAGGGGTCTGCGGTCTGGGAATAGTCTTGGGGGTAAGTGAGTGATGTGGGGTCAATAGTCCGAGCGCGGGAAACAATGTCCAAAGGTATAATTACGATGTCCGATGCAAAAGTGTCGGGTCCGATGTTTTCGGGGTTTCGGGTTATCGGGTTCGGGTTCGGGGTGTCGGAAACTAATAGTAACGCTATAGCGAGCGTTGGAAGAGCGAGCGGTGTGCGCAATAATAACAATGACTGATACGGGCGGTGAAGGAACAATGATATTTGCAATGTCAACTAAGAACTACGAAATATCGGGTTTGACCACTAAGCGTCGGGGAACTGCTCCCCTCTACTTGGATGATGAACGACACTGTGGGGAGTCCAATATGTATGTAGGTACGTAGAAATCCGGAACCCTATAGGCGAAAGTAGCGGCGGGATACTTCGGATCCGAAGTACATGTAAAATAACATGTGGTACTGTGGACGATGAGAAAACATGTAATAGCGCTTGCTACGACGTGAGTAATGTGTGAAATAATGAACTACGCACCTAGTGGGGCTAGCAAGACAGGACAAGACACGGGAAGGACAAGTGCGCGGGAATTTGCATCGGCCGATGTGGCCTAAACGTCGGGTTGGCGGGTTAGCGTCGGATAACATCGGGAAGTGATTAGCATGTGATGGGTATTTGACGTGTACTGTGAAATAGCTTGATACGAGCCCAGCGCCAGCTCGTGTCCTACAGCGGGCAGGGGACATGATCCCAATGGTGTTGGTGCCACACAAGAGGGTGAGCTTGCAGTAATGTGTCCTGCATGCCCTCAGCCTGAGATGAACTTACCTGCGGGTTGGGAGAACTCAGAACCAAATGTGAAGTGAGCACAAATGTGACAATACTTGCACTGGTAATGAGAGATTAACTATTTACAACAGGTGGTGTTATGTGCTTTTCATTGCCATGGATGCAAACTTTCGTCTTAAAAGGAAAGCTGTTTTGAGCGACCAAGTCGATCCTGGTTTGAATGCCGGCTGGGGTTATTTTGTTGAAGAGCAGCAATATAAATCATACTTAAGTCATTGTATGACTGAGCAGCAAGAGGTGAGCTGCTTACCTTGATTCAATTTGGATCTGAAACATGATGTAACCTCTCATGCAGCGCAGTACATGTGTCAGTCATAATGCCATCAACATGGCAGATACAAAATCTTCGCAAGGTCTAGCTGCTACTGGAGTAGGCACTGTGGATTGTGCTCGACACGACATGAAGCGTCCGAATGGTGTGGGGGACCTCCAGAAGGGAGAAAAGTACGTCACCCATTGGCCTGCTAATGCTTACGTCGAACTGATCTCATCATTTAGGTATCTTAATATGGATTACCTCATGTTATCTACACTTGCAAATTCATCGGTACCAGTGCTCAACGTATCATACAACATTGCATGCCAGTGGTCCAAGAAATTCTGGAACTGGATGGAAGCAATGCCGACTCACCTCCACCTCCCTCGTGATAATCTCAACATTCATTATTCTGTCCTGAAGTTCCATATTGGTGCTCACATTGAAGAATGCCAAATAGCATACTCTTGGAACTTCGGCAAATTTGTGGGCTGGACAGATGGTGAGGCACCAGAACGTGGCTGGGCGAACATAAACCGAGTTGCTTCAAGTACGAAGGAGATGGGCCCTGGCACTCGGCGCGATACATTAGATGATTATTTTGGCGATTGGAATTGGAAAAAGATTACCGCACTTGGTATGTCGATTTCAATTCATTTCTGCTACCAATTGTCTTAAGCACTAGTGCGATTATTTAGGACGGACTCTCAAACGTAAGATGGTGGATGCTCTGAAGTGGAAGAGTGAACATCGTCATGCTTTGAACGAATTGGAGGCGACAATTCATCAGAGTTTGATTCTGGAATGGAGGAGTGAAATTGAGGCCTGGGAGGATGATAGCACATCACCCAATTCTTTCCAAAGCCGGGTCATTTGTAAGTAACTCGCTCCCATAAATGTAGACCATGACTCTAATTTTCTATAGCGGTCATGCTTGCAGGTGTGCATTCACAGCTAGCTGACTTGGAAGCTTCCGAGTTGCAGGTGGGGATCAATTGTTCACTCCATTGTGACATATCACCGAGCATTCTTATCAGTACAGGGATAGATATTGAAGAGCAGCAGTACATTATGCCAATCATGTGATGCCTATTTCTGACATGTACACAGACAACGCCTTCATTGTGACATCGCCAACCTTTCCCTGCACCCCACTGACAAGCAGAAAGAGATGCTGACACACTGTACGAACACATTACAATGCAAGATAGACACCTGGACTCGTGTCCAGGAGTTATACATGCCCATAGTGTCCACCCTTCGTTCTTCACACTTGAATCCTGCCGCACCAACCGAATTAAAGCCACAGGACTTCCTTCTTTACCTGCCATCTGCTCTCGACGATACCCTCCACTGTGATAAACAACTCCGTGATAACGAGTGGGAGCTATGCTATGCCCAGGCTCTGGATGCCCTAAAAAAAGTGAGATCCCATTTACATTTGCGCACTCACATGTACAAGTTCAAGGAGAAGAACCTGCGAGGCCAGGCTGCTTCCATGCACGCTCAGGCCCTTATCGCACAGGTTGAAGCACGAAAGGATGCTAGTGTTGGCAAGTACCAGCATGCTCATGCTGCACTTGTCACACTCAGCCATCAACTAGAGAAAGTTGGCTGGCAAGCCACAGTCCGCATACTCCAAAAAGATGATATTTGACCCATGGGCGACTTTGCTGGTGGTCATTCACAAGGAATGGGGACACTATCGTGGATCTGGGTGGCGCATCAAGCTGACAATAGCTGCACTGAGAATGACAAGGTTCAAGACTGTAAGTAGCATTTCATATTTAGTTATCTCAGGACTTACCAGACTTCTCTATTCAGGCATCCATATAGAATGGTGCAAGGCAAGAGCACGCGCAGCTCGTTGGTCAGAGGAAGTTGATTTATTGCTCGAGGAGATGCGGAGAGTACTTGTATACTTGGAATGGGAGATAGAGGCCTGGCGAAGCCGCGCAACTCGACACCAAATTAACAAGCTGCCAGAACAATAAGGACTCGAAGCCTACGCATATCGCCAAGTGCATTTGCACGCTGATATGAGAAGATCCTTTCAAGGCATATGGAACAATGTACCAATACTTGTGGCATCGACACTTGATGCCGTGGCTTCTAACAGTGATGGTGAGATTGACAGAGGCCCTTCTCTCCATGCTCCGCCTAGTATACATGATTGCTAGAGAGGTCACTACTAGCAGTACACAATTAAATGATGATTTATTGCTGCTAGCGCACGTCAGATTCCAACCCGATCTCGTGAACAATCTGTCTAAGGTACAAACATCAAGGATCTCACAAACGCAGATCTCACAGATGCAGATCTCGCAAACATAGATCTGGTAAGGAACGACAGGAAACAACACATGAGAATTCTATTCTGGGTGGTGTGTGAAGCCAAGCTCACATACAGTCTATAGCGTGCATATATATCACTAGGGTCTATACACTGTAGCAGATTGATGTATAAGAGGGCCTCTAAACTGTTGGAATTAGTGTATTCAGGGTTTCCTATAACAAGTGACTGTAATACATTACAGTCACAGGTACTGGTGAGACAAGTGCATTCGACCCAGGGGTCTGCGGTCTGGGAATAGTTTTGGGGGTCAGTGAGTGATGTGGGGTCAATAGTCCAAGCGCGGGAAACAATGTCCGAAGGTATAATTACAATGTCTGATGCAAAAGTGTCGGGTCCGATGTTTTTGGGGTTTCAGGTTATCGGGTTCGGGTTCGGGTTGTCAGAAACTAATAGTAATGCTATAGCGAGTGTCGGGAAAGTGAGAGGTATGCGCAATAATAACACTAACTGATACGGGCGGTGAAGGAACGATGATATTCACAATGTCAACTAAGAACTACGAAATATCAGATTTGACCCCTATTGAGTCGGATATGATAGGGAATGATTTGGGTAATGATTAGCATTGATACACACATCGGAATTTAGACCTTTATGAGGCCACAGAGATATCAATCTCTACAACACGTCAAACAACCAGGCAGAGCTCCCTGTGGTCATATCTTGGGGCTAATTGGTAATTTTATCACTGGCAGAAGTTTTGGAATCGACAGATCTGGGCTTAACTATTAATACTCGCGCTTCTTTCGCTTCTATTACCTCATGTTCCTGGCGCTATCACCATGACTGATGACTCAGACTGCATTTCTCACTTCTCACTTCTCAGCAATATTAATTATGGCGAGTGGTCTATCCAAATCATTGGAAGCAGAGCTTATCCAAAAGGGTCTATGGGATATGGTGTTTGTTGAGGTAGATGTGGATGGAAAGATGAACAACAAGGTGAAGGTAGAGTTGCAGAAGTTGCTGGTTAAGAGGTCAGTGAAGAAGATGGCAGAGGCATGGGCAGAAATCATCCTTCGCGTCGAGCGGACCAGCTCGCTCATATGCGTGATCGCGATCCCAAGTTCATCTAGGAGACACTCACCCAAGTCCATCATGCATGTGGCCTAGGTACCAGGATGGCATTGTGATGGAAGTTGTTGATGGCGACAAAAGGTACGACAGAGGCTATGTCTGCCTGGATTAGTCGTGTCAAGGGTACGGCTCTGGATTTGGAGGATATTGGTGTTACTGTGGACGATGAAGACCAGATTCTTGTGCTTACGACTGGACTCAACAAATTGTATGATTCATTTGTCATCTCACTTGACTCGATGGTCACTGCAGATCTTACATTTGACCATGTGGTCAACCACTTACTCAATGAAGATGTTCAGCGAGGCAGTGGCGCTATAGCGGCTAGTGAGGAGATGGTGCGCACAGCATTAGTAAGCTTGGCTCAGGGGTGTGGACAAGTCTGTTTTCAGTGCGGGAAAGAAGGACACATTTGGGCGTTCTGCACAGCAACCCCGATTCATGGGAAAGGTGTTGAGAGGGCCGCAACGGCAGCAGGGGAAAGTTTCATGTTTTAATTTCAGGGGGTGCATTTTTATTTCTATTTCTATTGTCTTCGAGTCTTTGCTTGAGGGGGTGTGTTGGACTTAGTGTTTGGTGACGAGCTTGACTCGGAAGTAGCTGAACGAGTGGCTGAAACCTTAAATTGTCGGTGGTACATACAGTAGTTATTTTTACATGTACGCTACGTGTTTGCAACGAGTTCACTGTGCTTCGACTTGTGCAGTATTACTAGTAGTACAATCAAAACTATCTGATACAGTTGACCTGTCTGTGATATCTAAAATTCTGTGCTCCACCTGTGCTCAGTCAAGGACTTATGCTCAAGAAAGCAGTACTGGAGATTCATTCACGCATGGTCAGCTTTACACTGCACTATCAAGAGTGCGATGTTGAAGAGACATTTGGGCGCCATTTCCTACAGAGACTGAGGAGCAGACTATGGTGAACGTAGTATACAGATACCTGTTATTGAAAAACAGACATGCGACATCCGAAGGTGATCGGTACTCTTGTAGCAGTAATAGTATAGAATCTACAAGGGTGCCTGTGACGGTCCAATCACTAACACGTACTGCAAAAAGTTGTGAAACTGTACTCACTCATCCCTGGAAAGGTTGTTCATTGCACTGAGAATATATAGGAACTTGCGATTGGATCCCATTCCTCCAAAACCATCCACTTTCACCTGAACTTCAAACTGTTCATTGAGGCTGCCAAACGTCACTGCGCCGGCAAGCACCCACATGAACTTCAAATTTTTGATTTGTTGTTCCTCAGTCTTGCTGAGGAACTCTTGGTGCAACCCATGCCAAACAAAATGGATAATGGACATGATGAATGAGTTCTGGAATTTAGCCTTGATTTCGACCTGTCCATTCTGAAAAGATTGAGCTGCCCCCGACAACACACATGAACGAAAACTTACTTGGTCGAAGCTATAAACGTGCATGAAAACGAGTCCATCACCATCTCATGTGATCTTTTCAATCAAGTGTTTGCAATAGATGACAGCGGGTGCGGCAATATGCTGTGGAGGGAAAAGCCGATACGCATGGAAGACACCCTTGTGCACTAATTCAGCGAATTTGCCATGAGTTGACGACAACGCATTCGCAACATCCTTACAATGTTTATTCGAGATAAAATCCTCAAATGTTGCTAATAAAACAAGTCAGTATGATGTTAATGGACATATGATACTCACCATTAGGCGCAAAACAATGTGGTACCAAGTCCCAGGTAACCTTGATCAGCATGATTTTCTTGGCAGCTTTGTCAACCGCCATTGCCTTTTCTCCAAATAATTCATGCGTGAACAATTGCATTGCCATTTTCATGGACTGGTCAATGATATCATCTGATAGTTTGATGCGCGTGGGTTGAGGCATTGACAATGTTGCAGATTGCGAAGTTGAATCTTCGACTGCAGATGGTAGAGATTCAGAATTGCCCTGCAGGCGTGTGGAAGGGTAAGGAATCATACGTGGCATAGGTGGCATCACTCGTCAGGCTCGCCTCATTGTTTCCCTTGGTGGGCCCATTGTCTAAGTGAGTGGTAAGCAGGAAATGAATTGAAGAAAAACAAGAACTCATGTGCATCATATTGGTTGGTGGAATCTCACCTCGCTGGATCAGTGTCATCTCCAATGCACTCATGCTGGTACCAGTACCTTGGAGGGGGGCAGTTGAAGGAAAATTGTGGCTGGAGCCTTGAGGTAAGGGTTCAAAAGAAGAGCCCTGGAGGCCTTCCGAGAACAAAGCACCGTGGTATTGGCCGTGAGGGAAGTGGCTGTCAAAGTCAGCGTCCTGCATACTCCAGCCATATAATGCTGTGAAATTGTGAGTGTCACATCAGTAAACGAAAGTGTGATTGACTCACACATGCTCCCACTTGATATGGGGGTAGGAACTCCTCCACTGGCCGCATGCGCATTGAAGTTGACCTGAGACATACATGGTTGCTCAGTAGGAATGTGAAGTTGGCCAGTTGCTGGTTCGCCGGATGGATTGAGGCCAGAACCACATGGCAGTTTTTGAACTTTTTCGCTGAGGGGCATGCTCACTAGGCATTCAAGGTGGAGGGGATGTGAGAGCGCATGCATGCATTTAAGTTGCAAAACAATGTAACAGTACATAGGGGGAAAAGAAACACAAACTTTACATGATCTTTACAAACCAGGAACATGTGGTGAGCTGATAAGGTGATTGTACAAAAAAAGCAAGGCCATTTACTAATGAAGTGTAAAAAGAAGGGGGGGGCATGGTCTGATAAGACGACTTATGAACGGGAGAAAAAGATCTATGAACGGCCAGAGTGGGCAAAGCACTTTATTGAACGGTTGAAGCATGTTATGGATGGGCGAAGTAAGGCAGTATCAGTTGATAACAATATATGAACAGTGACACGAATGAATTGAGTGTCACTGATATTGACCAGTGAGTGGCATGAATGACTTGGCAGTCACATACCATTGATAGTCACAACTGTGAACACTGCTGGCCCAGCCACCCGCTGCGATGATCCTCCTCTTCACTGAAATCAGTATCAGAGTTGGTATCAGTATCAGTACCGGCATCCGTGAAACCACCACGCAGCGCACATGTGATGTTGTCCCTGTTTTGTGAGGCTCCAACAAAATGAGGGAGGTAGGGAGCTTCGCCGGTGTAATGAGACAACAATTGCTGGTCACTACACGAAGTAAGTAATCAGCAATATAATAATGTTGTGGTCTGTGCGGCCTAGTCTGCTATACTTGTAGACAAGTGTGTTCGACCTGAGGGGTTCGCTGTAAGGTATTAGAATAATCAGTTATACAAAAAGGAAGATAGTCCGAAGCGCGGGAAACAAAGTCCGAAGGTAAAAACGTTGGGTCCGATGTTTTCGGGTTTTGGGTTAGCGGGTTACGTCGGGTTACGTCGGATTAGCATCGGGAATGTAACAAATTTCGAGGATAGTGAATGGTGGGTTACTGTCAGTGTTTTCGGAGTGTTTCGGATAAGGAAAGGATGATATTTGCGGAATTCAATGAAGAACTACGAATATCTAATGACCTCCTCCTACTCGGAGGTAGAAAGGTAAATAAGTAAGTAGGAGGTATGCAAAATATATAGTGTCTATGTAGAATTTCGGAGCACTATAGGTGAAAGTAGTAGTGGTAATTTTCGGGTCCGATGTCCTATGTAATAAGACATGTGGTACTGCGGACATGTAATAATGTGGTCTACAGTGTTAGCGATGTGAAAACAGATGACTGCACACCTAGTGGGGTTAGATACGACAGGACAGGACATAGGGAGGACAAGTGTGCGGGAAAATATCGGGTCCGATGCGCAGGAAACGTCGGGTCCGTCGGATTAGCGTCAGACTATGTTGGATTAGTGTCGGGTTAGCGGATAAACGTCAGATTGAGCGGGTAAGTGTCGGATAACATTGGGAAGTGATTTGAGTGTTTGACATGCATTGGGAATTAGCTGAATACGTGCTCAGCGCAAGCCTGAGTGCTACACCATGCACTGGTTATTGAAACCAAGAGTGTGACGTGCAGAGACAAAGACTGAAGGATTGATACTTGGAAAGCGGCGCCAATGTGCAATCTTCTCTTTGATGCTATTGATGTCATCCCCACAAGCTCACTGGTGTGCATCATCGAGCTGCAAAATTTCAGTTAGACTCATGTAGCAAAGGCATGCAATAATGTTACCATGGAACTGACAACCAAACATCCTGCCCTCTGGACTTCATCAATGATGTAAGGGGGAAATGAGCAAATGGATTTATAGATGTCATATTGCTCATCCTCCCTGTTAGAGTGCTTCATGAGAGATAGTACCAGGATCCTGTGTGAGACTTACTTTGGTGTGTACTCACTGTGATTGCCAGTATTGGCCTCGCATTGGATCCCCTTTTCAAGAATGGTTGTGTTGTGCTGCCACATATTGACCCAGTGTCCAAGCATGCAGCCTTTGTGAATGAGCATTTTTTATTTATGGCCACAACTTGCTGCTGGGCACTAGCCTTCTTAATGCTAAACGGAGTCTGCTTAGTGACAGATCAACATGACAAAGACAGCCACTTACACTGGCTCTTTAAGGTCATTAGAGTCATCATCTCACTGGAAGCACGAAAGACTTTTTCAGCAGGAACAATGCTGAAAAATTTGTAAAAAAGGTTTAAATACATCAAAATTAGTGGTGTATTTAGACCTTTTTTACAATATTTTCAACATTTTTCTTGCTGAAAAAGTCTTTCATGCTTCCAGTGTCTCTTTAGTGAGGACACTTTTTTTGATGTACCTTTGGTGTGAGAGGTTCTGGGGATGGTGACGAGCCACCAGATAGGTCACTGGAAGTTGGCAGTCTGGATCACATAATGGGAAGCTCACAGAATGAAAAAATTATGTGTCCTGATGTAGCAAACCAGGATAAAGTTAAAATTGATGGGAGTGTGTCTAGTTTTCAAGGACAACATTTTTGCTGTGACCTGTTATGAACTGTCAGAGACAATCAACAGAAAGTATCAGGTGACATACACCACATCACATGCGAACACATCTAGTATTCATGCACATCACGATTGAAACCTTCTTCAGTCTCACTGTCGGAACAATAGTCTGAGGAATATTCCTCTTCTGAGTTGTCATTATTGTGTGAGGGGTCTCCTAGACAAGGTACAGGCTCTGACAGGGGGGGTTCATGAGTGTCTTCCTGACTGACAGTAAGATCATGCTGTTCAGTATGTGAACCCATCTCATTCATATGGCCAACACCAAGGCCAAGGTATCTCATCATCATATCACGATCCACAAAACTAAATCACACATTAGTTCAAAAAGTAGACTGAGAAAGTTCATGTACACCCACCGCATCACATAATAATTAACCCAGTCACCCTCAGCCCTATTGCGCACTGAAGACTGTCCAAGAAGCTCCGTTGTCAACCCTATTAGTGAGTAGGCCAGCCAAGGTGACATGCACGGACAACATCTCATGGATCCACAAAACCAAATGCTGGGCTGTGCTCATCACTATTCCCATGAGGGACATAGCCAATATGTTCCAATTGAAGTGATCTAGGCCCTCCTATTCACTCAGGATCATGTCCGAACCAACGCACCCATAAAAACTCCATGCGGTGTAACGAGACAACAATTGCTGGATACTACATGAAGTAAGTAACCAGCAATATAATAATGTTGTGGTCTTGCGCGTCCTAGTCTGCTATACTTGTAGACAAGTGCGTTCGACCTGAGGGGTTAGCTATCTGGTATTAGTCTGTAAGTAGTGGAATGTCAAGTGATCAAAAGTCCGAGCGCGGGAAACAAAGTCCGAAGGTATAATCATGAGTCCGACGCCAAAGTGTCGGGTCCGATGTTTTTGGGTTAGAAGACTAGTGGGTTTCGGGTGCGGGTTCAGCAGATTACAGAGAATGGCGATAGCGAGTGTCAGGAAAGCAAGTGGTATGCGGAATATCAATAATGACGGGTGTTTTCAGATAGAAAGAGTGGTAATATTCACAATGTCAACTAAGAACTACGAAATATCAGGTTTGACCACAAAGCGTCAGGGAACGGCTCCCCACCACTTGGATGATAAATAATGCTCGAGGTCAGTCCAATATATATGTAAGTACATAGAAATGCGGAACCTGTAGGCGAAAGTAGCGGCAGAGTATTTCGGATCCGAAGTACATGTAAATAAACACGAGGTGCTATAGACTATGGGAAAACATGTAATAGTGCTAGCTACGACATGAGTAATGTGCGAAATAATGAACTACGCACCTAGTGGGGCTAGCAAGACAGGATGGTGTCCTGCATGATACGGGAATCATGCATGGACATAACTACTACTAGGAATAACCCCAAAAAGATTATGTCTGTTAGCACAGTCCTCAGACTAGTCACCCCATACCTTGGTATCAAACCTCGGTGCTATATTTCAAGTTTTATATGGAAGAAGAAGAAAAAGTCATATGTGAAATGGGAATCACAGAATGACCTAGTTGATATGTGAAGTAAAATGAAGGTTAAGGTATTGCCTTACCTTTGGCTTATTCACTCTGGCTAGAGAAAACCATTGAGAAAAGCTCAAAGCCTAACAAAAACCTATCTAAAAAGCCTGTGTCTTGCATATTGTATTTGTAAATCATTGTTTCTATCTTGTTTTCTCTAGCATTGTTCTTTTATTTTCTTTTATTTTAGATGCTATGACCTACCAGATACTCCAGAAAATATTATTTCTGAGTATGATGTCATATAACTCCACAGAAAGCTCTAGACGATTCTGTTGGAAATTATGATGTAATGTATGAAGTCATAATGATGTCATAGGCCCTAGAATGTTCTAGCTACACTATGATGTCATCTCTGATGTCATTGCTCCATCTTTTATTTGTATTTTATACTTTTATTGGGTTTCACCCAATATTCTGATTGGTTCTCTCTTTATTTTTATTGCTTGCGAACCTACATTACTTTCCCACACAAAATGTATATAAGGAGAGCCCATTCTCCCCCAAAAAAATAGAGATCCCTCTTCTAGGAAATTCTCTTCTCAGAGAAACCCCTCAGTTGAACAAGACATCTCACTTGTCAAGATCTCCCACTTGTAGCAGAACAAGTGCAGGGAAATGTATCCCTTGAGAATACAAGTTTCTTACGATAAGAAGCTTACATTACTGTTTATTTGACCAACCAGTGTTTGGTCCACGTGATTTTAAGAGACCATTGTCTCTCCTGTTTTACTGTTTATTTGACCAACTCGTGCCTTGGTCAACGTGATTGTTCTTGAGACCGTTGTCTCACCCGTACTATTTGTGCCTATTTGACCAACCAGTCTTTGGTCAACATGATATTTCAGAGACCCCTTTGTCTCTACTACTATTTGTGCCTATTTGACCAACTTGTGCCTTAGTCAAATCTACCCAGTTCATTTCAGTGTCTAGAACGTGCAATCTAGGCAAAGTTATTTGTACTTCAGACCACAGTTCTGAATCTAGGTAGCAAATCCTAGACAAAGCAATTGGAGGTACACATAAAAAGCTCCGGCTAAGTTGATCACCTGATTGGTTTAGCGAGCCTCCCAAGAACTCACACGTTATCTACCACGAAAGAAGAAAAGTCATAGACCGTGTTAATCGAGGACTGGCAAGAAGTCTTATCCAAGTGTAATTGTGGTGTCATTACATTCTTACACACTTTATATAAGACCCTCGGTTATTAAGACAACGGGACACAGATAGGACAAGTGCATGGGAAAATATCGGGTCCGATGTGCGGGACACGTCAGGTCCGCCAGTCAAAGTGTCGGGTCCGATGTCAAAGTGTTGGATTGAACGGGAAGTGATTATTGTGCAACGGGCATTACACATGAAGCGTGAATCAGCTGAATACGAGCCTAGCGCGAGCTCGAGTGCTACAGCGGTGTGGCTTTCGCTCATTCCCATAAAATATTTTAGCATGAAAAAAAATTCCAATGACACGAGCATACCAAAATGGGTGCAGCTCCATATCATCGCTGAGATATTCATGCACTCATAGCACAATGTCCCGACATGGCCCATTGACATTGATCATGTCTTGCTCTCATCGGACATCATAGGAGGTGTAGTTGAACTAAGCCATGGCATGAGGAAAGATGTGGTCAAATTGAAAAATCACTTGATCAAGCTCTTCATGACTAAAACAAATTGTGTCATCAAAGACAGACAGGCCCTACAGTCATGCAAGTAAATGAGTTTTGAGTTTCAACAAAAAATTCTGAATCAGGATCAAGTCAGTGAGATACTGTACCAGGCACATGACTTACTTCGTAGGCTCTCACAGCATGCAGATAGGCCATGCAATGAGCAGCACATGCAGTTGGCCTGCATCAATCATACTTTGACTGGTTAGTGAAGTAGGCATATATTGGCCACAGCTTGGCCTGTCCAAACTGCACCACATGGGTGGCATCTGACCAAAACATAAATCTGGCCACTGCTCTTGGGAGATTACAACCTGTTTCTTGTGGGGATGACTGCAGCTCGCAGTCTGCTGCCAAGAAAGTGTCCGATGTGTACACCTCATCGAATACATGTTCGTGTTCGACATCAGAGTGTGAAGGCTTCCAGAACTGCTTGAATGGGTGGAAGTGAAATTGTTTAGATGGGGGAGATGTGAAAACCTCCTGGATGATGGTGAGAAGGCTGTGATGGCAAAAGTTGGGAATGTTGAATCTGATAGTAGGTGTTAAGGTCGTACTCTCGTAGGATCGGATCCGAAGGACTTCGGCCTCAGCTCGTACGCTGTGCCCCTTTCCCAAGTACTGTCCCTTATTTCAGAGACTAATGATAACGCGTCTGAAGGTCCGGACGGGTCTCGTAGTTATATCCGGATGACTTCCAGATATCG